GATTCCACTCACTAATAATCCAACAGAAAGAGACAGTTATAAAACACATTCAGCACTGTTTGTTCTAGGCAGTGTGGTTATATCTCATGTCAAAAGAGTATATGCTGGTAATTAAAACAGAGAACACTTACTAAGAAAAAAGAAAGAAAATATTATTTCCAAGAAAAGCCAGAGGTAACTGCAGCACCATGGACACTGCACTCGGTGTTTACCAGCACACTTAATTTTGATTATTTCAATTACATTTCAAAGTGCTCAAAAGCATTCATTTCAATCATTTAGAAAGATCCATCTGTTACCATTTCCTCTTAATCTGGAAATTATTAAAAAGCACTAAATTTATCTGCCTAATTATTCCATCTATCATGATGTTTAACAAAGAAGGCTTTAGTTTTAAAAACACCTCCACCATTGGAGCCTCCCATTTACTCCTATTTCAATCCTTAAAAGGCTCTCCGCCACACCAGAGACGCCAACAGAGATAGTAAAGAAGATAAAGCAGATGTCATGACGTAGAATGTTTTCAGGATGCAAATACACTTAACTGCTTTTTGGTTTTAATCTAATTTTTACTTTTATGTAAGCCTACTGTATTAAATCTAAGATCACAGCAGGATGCCATTGCAAGAGAGCCTCCATGGAAAAATTACTTTTTATGTATAGTGACAAAATCAATCCTTAACTAATGAAATGTATTTTCATCACCCCAATAAAATGCTACATGAAACATGGGAGGAAGTCATTAAAACATCAAGAACTATTGTTATTTTGACCATATAGACAACAACAGGACCACAACTGCGCGATGTTAGCAACTGCTTTCAGCTGGATCCACAGTAATTCTTTAAAAAAATACAGAGAAAGATGTACATGAGATTTTGCCAGTAATTTGCATAGTTAGAGAGTCTATTTGTTTACACAGTCTTATGACAGCAAGTACTCCTTTGGTACCATACTCAAGGTGGTAGAACTAGGTAGGAGTTGTTCAAAGATCTCCCCAGTTTCTTTAAACTTTGTGAAAAATTGATCTACTTTTAATATATATAAAGAGTTTAAATACGATGTCCAGAGATGACCTTTGATTCATGTTTCAGTTTCTGCAGTAAATTTACCATATACTTAGAGATAGTATTTCCCTAAAAAATTACTCTTATTAAGGAGCAGAAAGAAATTACAAACATTTGGACATCAGCGCTGATTAAACAAACCACTGTCTAAAGAGCTGCTAAACCCTGAGAATGGGAAACTATAGAAGTAACAGACATGAACTTATTTTTGATTCAGTGGCATTTCTGAAAGACTCACGGAGAACATAGAACCCTTTTTAAACTTCTTTAAAGAGGTGAGGAATATTTGTATAAAGATATATTAGATTGAGAGTTCTTCATTACTTTCTTCTCTCCCTTTTTCAGCTCAATTCCACTCACTTCTCCCTCTCCCTCACATTTGTATGCTTGGGAGCTTGGTTCACTACTTTTGCTACTTCAGCTAATGCCAAATGTAAAGTTAAAAAAGGGGATGAAATTAAACAATTATACGAACACAGGGAAAGAAGCACTTGGTAGCCGAGGCTCAGCTACAAGTAGCATCGATTTTCCACTGCTTTAAAATGCAAATAGAACAAAAGACCCAACGAAGTGAAACGGGGAACAGGAGTCAATACGGAATGCACTGATTAGAGAGAAAGAAAACAGCGAGAAGTCCAAAGGAGAGGGGTGGTATTGACACAGTCTAGTTTCCTATTTCACTTTTACAACAGCCCAGACCATAACAATCATTAAACAAACCATTGAAGAGCTGAGGCTTATCTCGAACACCACACCGTGTACTGCATTCTTCAACCTGTAACCCTCCCTTTTATAGGCGAGATCCGTAACAGCTAATTACATAGGTTGTTCTGCTTGAATCTGCATCTTCCTAAGACTTCTCACGCCAAAGGAAAAGTACAGCCACCCTTCCATGCACCGCTACCTTATTCTATATTTCTGCATGCACTTGCTGTAAATCTGTTTTTTCCATGACATTTTAATCACTTTCCTGTTTCAACATCAGGTCTCCAAGTGCTTCTATTATTATTTTTGTTTCCTCAAAGTGGTAGTGACAAATGATTAACTGGTACAGTGATCTTTCCACACGAAAAATTTCCCATTTTCTATTCCACAGAAATAGGGCTATATTTAGTACAATATTTATTTCAAAACAGATTTAAAATACAGCCAGAAGTAGGTCCTGCAAAAAAAAACCACACCCGCATTTTTGTTATTAGACACAAAACCAGTCCTATTAAATTCAGTGAGAATAGGCACCTACATTTACAAAAAAAAGAATAATTTTTGCATAAACAAGCAGGGCACTGAAATTCAAGGGGACTTTCCGCCTAGAAGTCTAAAGCCCTTTGTCACAAGGGCTCAAAAGTGGCATTTTCTTTCCATGACCTAACGTAAGTGAGGAAACGAACTTGGCCTCATGCTTTTTTTAAGCCACAACAATGTCATGTGTAAGCACCCCAGACTTTTGCCACATTTACACTACTTGTCAAAAGGAAATATTTTTCATACTGTCAACTAAAAGTCACTTTCCAGTTGCATGTCTCCAATTAACTGTGCAATACTACTCATGTATTTATGTCTTTCAAAAACAAATGCTTATTCTGGAGTCACCTTTCTGTGGTTTACGCATAAGCTAACTCATATGTTGCAATAAATACATAATTGACTCGGAAATACTTCTATGAATCCCAAATTGAAGCATCCTTAGATCAAGTGTTTTATATTATGCTTCCACTTCTGAAACTGTCTCCATGCTTCTGTTCCTCGGAGTATGAATTGCTTTTAAAACCTGAAACTAGAGATATTTGCACTTAATTTGACTTTTCCATACTAATTTGTTTTCTTAGCTGGTGCTGTATTTTTGTTAAGTACTTGGGTTTAAACTTGGCATATGATTGCTTACATCCTTATCAACAAATCTGGAGCAATCATACTGTATATATGACGGCTTTAAGGAAATAAAATGCTTCACTACTGGGAACAAAATAATTCATCCTAGGTTCTCTCAGGCACAGCATAACTTTCAAGTTGGAATTAAAAACACACATAGACATGGATCTGAAATGACTAATCGCTTCTATTATACAGAAAATTAGTACATGGCTTTGCACAGAAATAAATCTATTGCACAATTCTAAATTTGATCCTTAATTCTGTGCCCAGGTGTCTAACACACAGGTCCAACTAACGTGCGTGACCTGCTCATAAATATTTGTTCCCTGGGACTTTGAAATGAAGAATGAAAAAGAAGCATTTGTTTAAATAATTCATGGAAATTGACTGGTCTTCAGCATCCAGCAACACAGGCGTGCAGTGAAAGGCAGCACAGCAGCTTGCTTTTTGACCGCCTCAAATGCAAGCAGAGTGCACAACTCAACAGTAAAACAAACATTAGAATATTTTTTTCATTTCTAAATATTTGGGAATATCTGTTACCTGAATGCCAATACTCGAACTGACATCACAAAACACAGGCGTTTCACTAACTTTTTGCCAAACTGTTGTATCTACAGGCTGATATGGCATTGTTTCAGGCCTTTTAATAAACTGCATAACCAAAAATTAAGGAAATAAAAGAGAAATACACAAGTTCCTATAAGACTAGGGTGTTAATTTGGTAAAGTTCTTCAGCTGATACTATCCTGAGGACTTAAAAGTGATGGAGCACTTTATTACTTGAAATGTAACAACGAAGATGACAATAAGAAATAACTAAATCATTCCCAAATTCAAAAAGGATAATTTTCTTAAAGAGGTTATTTCTCTTAAAGAAATCACGCAATGTTGTGGTAAATTGAAGTTTTAAAAAACTACACAAAGGAAACTTCTAGATCCGATTTTGGTGCTCCATTGTTCTTGTCTTAGGCTTGAGGAAATTTATTACTTCCTCCTCCTCCTTGTACCACTACAAAAACTTCCAGAATACAAGTCTCCTAAATGCTCTGCCTACAAATACATGCACATTTAGGTGATTCAGCTGAAAATGTAAGTCCTTTTGTTTGGGGGCAGGGAAGACTCCCCCAAGCCCACTTTTTCAACAAAATGCCCTTCTAAAGTGGCTATAAAAGTATGTTCGTGCTATTCTGCTGTTTACATTGTAGAGGAAAAAGGCCTGGAAATTGGCAGCAGGCATTTCTGCATGTTTTGTACCTCAGAAATACAAGTATGCCAAGAATTTTCATCTGTGGTTTCACAGGAATAGGAGGGGAAAAAAATTATCTCATTCCTCTGCTAGAGGACATACTGTCACACACCTACTATGGTAAGTAATAAACATTTGTCAGGAGTTTGATTTAAACAATGACAGAAGATTTTTTTTAAGGCATTTGAATAAAAGTATTTTGCAATTCTCAAGTTTTTAGAATAATCTGAGAACCTGGAGATAACATTTTAGCATAAAAGACATGTGGAAAATCTTCTTTAAAATGAAAAAAACCCAACAAAATAAAAGATACTGGCCTATTTCAGATCACTTTTATATACCACAAAGCAGTCATAAAGATCAAACCAGATCTTTTCTTCCAAAGCAGATAATCATTTGACCATTAGAGAAGGTGCTGCCGAAACGGAAAGGCTGGTATTTCATACGAGTAGTATTAAAAAATTTGCACTTTACAGCTATTCCACTGGAAAATGGTGAAGGGAGTAATATAATTCTCAACAGGCAAGTACTCCCACACGTTGTGTCCATGTGAAAATCTTGAGGCTATCAACCACCAGCTGCTCAGAGACATTAGCTAAAAACTAAAGCCTTGTGTCACAGCCAAGTGAACTTTTCTTTAGGTCAACATGAAGATTTACTGGCACTCAGAACAATATACACCAACTTCAAGGTAAGAGAGTTGGACGCAAATATCCGAGATAGCCCTGTCAGCTCCATATTTCAGCTCCTCCCACCTGAATCGGCTTCTCTTGTCTAAGTCAACTAATGCACAATTCAATAGCCTTGACTTACTGTGAGATGTGAGTTATTGGGGTCAACAGTGTCTCACCCTCCAGGTCAAGCTCATCGGCAAAGCTGTTGGTCCTGATGAAGGGTCCTGTGTTCACATCTAAAAACGTCGGGCTTTTTTTCACTGTGAGGAAACATGCAGATAACAGTTAAAGCAATAGCATTTGGCTTTTTCAAGGAAGGTCTACCACTCATTTGGATCTCTGAAACGCTGTGAGTTTTAACAGAACATTGAAAACAGAAGTTATGACAGAAAAATTGAATATACCTGAGAGTTCATGAAAAGTAAAGCTTTAACTCTTCTTCGACTCGAAGAATTTCAACTTCTGCTGAAGACCTAAAGCTAATATTTTTTTTGTGCGTGTGTTCATACTTTTCAACACTAGAATGTAGAGTATCTATATCACAGGCAGCTTCATGCATTATAAAATTTATACTCACACAATACTCGGCCATACCATAGACGACTGCTCTACAGCAACAGTGCATGAGTGCGACCCAATGACAAGATCAGTTCCTTTTTAGATCATCTTCTACTTTAGTTTATAGTACCAATTTCTGGGGTGTCATTTCTGTGACTAAGATCAAGAAACCAGGCCTAGATCAACAAAGGAGCCTAGGCATGTTCACAGTGAGCAGTCAGCTCCTGTCACACCCGTCTGAGCCCGTCTACTGGTTCCCATTCCCTCTCACACGCAGGCACAAGGATGCTTCGTCTTTCAGCCCAGACACGAGACAGGTGGCAAGATGTTCAGTTCATCCAAGATGAGGTCCTTAGTGGGAATGCCATTTCAAAAAACTTCAGATATTGAAAGTTTTTACTGGCAAAGTTACTTGTCTACCAACACTTCCACGCATCAAAGAAACTAGGCAGAGTATTACAGATTTCATTTTTAAACACAGGCTCCTAAACTGTGGCAGACTCTTCCAACCCCTAACATTCTGTGATTCTGTGTGATGAAGAACTGTAAGTGCTTTTTCCAGCATGGTGCTAACATTTGCTAGAGAATTTTTTTTTGAACAAAATTTGCATATAAATAAAACTACTATCATATTTATACACAACTGCAAATTAATTTTATAGAAAATTAAAACAACAAGTAGAATTCTGTAGAAATCATAGGTAGATTGTGACACTTCCATTGAAATCTTTTTCTGTGCAACTGGCTGGATCATTCAACGAAATAATGCTGTAATTTATGAAGTCCCTACTGTACTAAATAAAATACTTCAGAACACAGAAGTAAATAATGCCCTCCCAAAATGCAACATGAACAGAATACAGCAGAAATAGCTAACTTAAAGGTAGCTGAATTTAACGAGAATAGAAGTGGGGATATTGGGAAACTTTTTTTTTTTTAAATGCAACCTTTTTGCTCAAATAAGTAGATATCTTCATATGGCAGAAATGGATTTGAACTTTTACAAATAATCAGAAGAGAAAATCTTATTATATCATCAGGCACATGGCCATTCAAAATTACAGTGGGAAAGTCTGATCTCCAGAAATCGTAACAGGAGAGGAAGACCTCTGAAATCAGGTTTTTTTTAAAAAAAAAAGAAAAAAAAAGACAACTGCTGGGAGATACAATTGTTAAAAGCAGGAGCCACTTGCAGCACTTAAAAATTAAAATTATATAGTACATTTTAGCAAATGTTAGCTTCCTAGTTTTTGTTTTAGTATGTTATTTAATCACTCTGCTGTAGCCATCATCCAAGACAGTGGCTCTGAAACGAGCAAAATATTTCCATATTCAGATATGCAGCAAAATGTCTTTAAAACAGACTCCTTTTGGCTTTCACTAAATTAATTTTCACTGGTTTCATTTCTAGAAGATACAAGTGAAACTTTCACAGGTCCCAGGAGAGGACGACTCACAGCCTTTTCA